GTCGACTCCGACCCAATTTAGAAGGGGGAGGAGGAGGAGGAGGAGGAGGAGGAGGAGGAGGAGGAGGAGGAGGAGGAGGAGGAGGAGGAGGAGGAGGAGGAGGAGGAGGAGGAGGGAGGAGGAGGAGGAGGAGGAGGAGGAGGAGGAGGAGGAGGAGGAGGAGGAGGAGGAGGAGGGGAGGAGGAGGAGGAGGAGGGGAGGAGGAGGAGGAGGAGAGGAGGAGGAGGAGGAGGAGGAGGGAGGGGGAGGAGGAGGAGGAGGAGGAGGAGGAGGAAGAGGAGGAGGAGGAGGAGGGGAGAGGAGGAGGAAGAGGAGGAGGAGGAGGAAGAGAGGAGGAGGAGGAGGAGGAGGAGGAGGAGGAGGAGGAGGCGGAGGAGGAGGAGGAGGAGGAGGAGGAGAGTGGAGAGAGGAGAAGGAGGATGAGAGAGGAGGAGGATGAGGAGGGACGAGGAGGAGGAGGAGGAGGAGGAGGAGGAGGAGGAGGAGGAGGAGGAGGAGGAGGAGGAGGAGGAGGAGGAGGAGGAGGAGGAGGAGAGAAGAGGAGGCTCGCAACCCGTTTTTTTCTCCACAAGGTGCTGCGCGTTGGCATCCGTTTGGGCGGGAGCCTGCGGGGCGTCTGCGGGCCGGAGGGCGGGCGGCACCGGCGCTCAGAGAAGGTGCTCTTGAAGCGTGACGTGATGCGCAGGCGCCGACAAAAATTGTAGGCCCGGAAATGGGCACCAGCACCAACACAGGAGGTTGCCTCCACAGGGGGAGGTTGATCCTCGATTTCGGTGTCGGTGGTAATATTTCGGCCACCTTGGAAGCCAGACTATTACCACCATCACCGAGATCGGGATCGTCTTCCCTGGATGGAGGCACACCGCCGATCTTGGTGTTGGTGTCAATCTCTAGGCCTGCGAAAAAACACTGGACATCAAGATGTCTGTATGATGCTGGTTGTCCCGATTTGTTTAGTCGGGGTTCGTAGCGCAGCCTTTTTCGGCATGGTCGGAGTCTTCTGCTGTCTTTGGTGCGTTGGCGTCTCGGGGCGACCCTCTGGAGCTCTGGAGCTCTCAGGTGAGTTCCCTCTCGTATTCAGGCCGTCGAGGATGAGCTCCGATCGAGCCCGCGCCAGGAATCGTGAAGTAGTGCAATTCACAATCGCAAATCGAATGTTCCACCAATCAACGAGCATTGATGCCAGGGTGTTTTGGGTGGAGGGCCCAAGAACAGAACTCCGAGGACGGTGCGGGGGTCTAGCCAGGTGGCGACCTGGCAGGGGGTCAGGGTCGGTTCCGGGCTGGGAATGTGCGGGTGGGAGGTGGCGACCTGGTGGTGGGTCAGAGCCGTTTCGGGCTAGGAACTATCTAGTGGGGAGGCCGAAGAACAGAGCTCCCAGGACGGTGCGGGGGTCGGACCAGAATCGTCGGGTGGGGGTCCGAAGAACAGACGGCGGGATGTCGGACCAGGTGCCGACCTGGTGGTTTGTCAGGGTCGGCTCCGAGCGAGAAAGTGTCGAGTGGGGGGGGCCCAAGAACAGAGCTCCCAGGACGGTGCGGGGTTAGGACCAGGTGGCGACTTGGTGGGGGGTCAGGGTCGGTTCCGGGCTAGGGAATGTCGGGTGGGGGGGCCGGAGAACATAGCTCCGAGGACGGTGTGGGGGTTAGGACCAGGTGGCGACCTGGTGGGGGGTCAGGGTCGGCTCCGGGCTAGGAATTGTCGGGTGGGGGGGTCCAAAGCTCCCAGGCGTGTGTGGGGGTCGGACTGGGTGGCGGCCTGGTAGAGGGTCAGGGTCGGTTCCCGGCGCGGAATTGCCGGGTGGGGGGGGGGCAGAAGAGCGGAGTTTCCAGGACGGTGCGGGGGTCGGGCCAGGTCGCGACCTGGTGGGGGGTCAGGGTCGGTTCCGGGCTCGGAGCGAACTGGTTGGGGGTCAGAATCGCTTCTGGGTTAGGAATTGTCGGATGGGGGAGCCCAGGAACAGAGCTCCGAAAGCTGTGCGGGGGTCGGACCAGGTGGCGACCTGGTGGGGGGTCAGGGTCGGTTCCGGGCTGGGAATTGTCGAGTGGGGGGGGCCAAGGGGCATAGCTCCCAGGCTTGTGCGGGAGTCGGATCCGAGCGAGGATTTGCCGAGTGGAGGTGCCCCAGACCACAGCTCCCAGGACGGTGCGGTGATCGGACCAGGTGGCCACTTGGTGGGGGCTCAGGGTCGGGCCGTAGCGGTTCCGGGCTAGGGATTGTCGGGTGGGGAGGCCGGAGAACAGAGATCCCAGGATTGCGAGGACTGGACCAGGTGGCGACCTGGTGGGGGGTCAGGGTCGGTTCTGGGGTAGGACTTGTCAGGTTGGGGGGCCCAGAAAACAGAGTTCGCAGGGCAGTGTGGGGGTCGGACCACATGGCGACCTGGTGGGGGGTCGGGGTCAGTTCTGGGCGGGTCGGAGCCTGGCCAGAGATTGTTGGGTGCGGGGTCAGAAATCCAGAGGTCCCGAGGATTCACTCGTTGTTTTTGTGAGGCCGAATGGCATTATGTTTGTTCCCAGAACCACAAATTTACAATTGGTTTTTCTCACGCGGTTTCGGGGGTGACACGTGTCGCCCGGTTTTGTTGCGAGATTGGATGGCCTCATGGTGGTTTCAGAGTTCCAGAATTTACAATTGTTTTTTTCTCACGTGGTTTCGGGGATATCACGTGTCACCCGGTGTTTTTTGTGTGGCTGAATGGCTTTACGTTGGCTCCCAATCCCAAAAATTCAATTGGTTTTTCTCACGCGGTTTTCTGTGGAGGCACGCCTCGCCTGGTATTTTGGGCGGCTGAATGGCCTTATGTTGGTTCCTGGAGCCCCAACTTTACATTTGTTTTTCCATACAGTTTCGGGGGTGACACGTGTCACCGGTTGTTTTTTGTGAGGCTGGCTGGCCTTATCTTGGACTCCCAGAGCCCCAAAATTACAATTGGTTTTTCTCACACGGTTCTGGTGTTGACACGTGTCACAGGTTGTTCTTGTGAGTCTGAATGGTCTTATGCTGGCTCCCAGAACCTCACATGTACAATTCGTTTTTCTCAGGCGGTTTCTGGGGTGACCTGTGTCGCCCGTTGCTTTTGTGAGGCTGTATGGCCTTGTGTTTTGGCTCTCAGAATCCAGAATCACAGATTTACAATTTGTTATTCTCACGCGGTTTCGGGGGTGACACGTGTCGTCCGTTTTTTTTGCCAGGCTGGATGGCCTTATGGTGGCTCCAGAGCCCCATGTTTACAATTGGTTTTTCTCACGCGGTTTTGGGGATGACACGTGTCATTGGTTGTTTCTGTGAGGCTGGATGGGCTTATGTTGGCCCCCAGAATCCCGAATTCACGTTTTTTTTTGTTCACATGGTTTCGGGGGTTGACGCGTATCGCCCGTTGTTTTTGCGAGGCTGTATGGCATTTTGCTGGCTCCCAGAATCCCAGATTTACAATTTGTTTTTCTCAG